CCCCCCCCCCCCCCCCCCCCCTGATGTTGTCTTGATGCTCATCTAACCTGGCGTAGAGGGGCCTGTACATCCCGTTTTTGTTTCTGGCATACAGTTGCGGAGAGCACTGTGAGTTCTCTTCTTACGTTACTAAAATTTCCGAAAGGGCTGTGGATTTTGAAGCCTCCTTGTTTACTGTAATTAAAAGTTTAATTGGCTTACTATGAAAATGTTATTGCCTTTGTACATACTTTCTTCTGTGTATTTATCTTTATGTCTTGTTGTGGCAAATAAGACTTGGAATCTGTTTAAATTTACAAGATGGCTCTGGAAAATCTTATTTCGAAAAACTATTGATATCATCTTCTAGTCTTAAACGAACTGTTTTCATAGTTATATATATTTGTAAGGTAGTGGCTGCAGCTTCAATCACCTCTTGCCAAAAGGGTTTTTCATGCAAGTTGTTCTTTGTATTACCTTCTCTTCAAGATTCCCATATTCAGATGAGTAAGATTGAGCAGCATTCATCCTCAGACATCGTAGGACTCGAAAGGACAATACGGTAATTACCTCTATACAATCAATATATAAAATTAGATGAGCATATTGCTTTATTAATCATATTAGTTTCGTTCTCTGAACTATGAGCTCTCTATACTGACTTGCAGATTATAATTTTGAATGTCCTCGTTTGTTTCTCCAATCTTGCATCATATTTGATGCTATTCTCTCTTTTGTTGTTTTTTTTTTTCTTTTCATATCGATATTGTAACGACCCAAGTCCACCATTAGCAGATATTGTTCTCTTTGAATTTTTTCTTTCAAGTTTTCCCTCAAAGTTTTTAAAATGCATCGACTAGGAAGAGGTAATCACACTCTTATATAAAATGTTTTGTTCTTCTCTCCAACTGGTATGAGATCTTACAATCCACTCCCTTTGGGGCTCAGCATCTTCGCTGGCACTCGTTCCCTTCTCCAATCAATGTGGGACCTAGCATCCCAGTGTCTTTGTTGGCACACCGCCATGTGTCCAACTCCCTTTTTTTTGGGGCTCAGCCTCCTCGCTCAAACATCACCCTCTAGCTCTGATACCATTTGTAATGGCCAAATCTATTGCTATTAGATATGTTTCTTTGAGTTTTCCCTTTCAAGCTTCTTCTCAAGCTTTTTAAAATGCATCTGCTAGGGAGAGATTTTCACACCTTTATAAAAAATGCTTCATTTTCCTCTCAACGGGATCTCACAAACAGCCCTACTTTATAATAGCTTTGTTCCAAGTTTTATCTTTGGTTTGGATCAAATCTATTTGAATGATTAGGCTGCACATCATGGCATGAATATGCATGCCATATTTCATACCATATTATACTTTGATTAATATACTCTCTTACACGAGTAATTGATCGAAATATCTTTAAAACGCTTACAATAAAATTTTAAATCCAATGACACTACATACCTAACCAGCTATCATAACAACTTCTATAAAAAACTAGGAATCCCAATAATTTCTAAAAAGACTATCTCAACAACTTCTACTTAAAATATATATCCACAACAACTGAACTACTGCAAAGTACAACAAATTAGATGAAATGGGTTCAACCAATTACAACTGAATTGCTCTTGACATCATTTCCTTTCAGCAGAAGTCATTGAAATATCCCACTTGCTTAAAAAAAACCCCAATTTTCACTATGATCAAGAAACCCACCTCATGAAAAATGGTGGAAAATGGGTTTAAGAACTGAAGTATCCCACTTGGTTTACAACAAAATTCACTGAATCTTATGAGTGCATATGAATCCACACACCCTGTTTCTCCTCCCTTTCAAACTTAGAACAAAATAATCAAGATTCCCCATTTTGGCAGCATTAATCTATTAATTTTTTCCCATTTGGCCCATTGTAATGTTATTAGGACAGCCATCATTTGTCTCCACAGCATTGGACAGCCTATCTCTGAAATACATTACTAAATTATTCTTGTTTTCTGTAATCTGTCCTTTAATGACTTGTTTGTTGTGTTTTTCATGGGGGTGAGAGGGACATTTGGAGTGGGGCCCCACCCATTGAAATTAGGGTTCTTTCTTAGAAGATCAGCAGGCTATGGCTTTTCTGAGTACCCCCATGTGTAGAAAATATATGGAAACTGGGTTTTGTTTGGTTGTGGTGGGAAAGGACAACTGTGAGAGAATTTGTGAGCAAAAAATAAGCCATCCTCTCTCTGCATTGCTTTATCTACCGTATGAAAGTGATGTTGAATATCGCTGGGAGAGGAGTCCCACTTCGATTAATTAAGAGGTTGATCACGAGTTTAGCAAGGGATATTATCTCCATTGATATAAGATTTTTTTGGGGAAATAAAAAATAAAGTCATGAGAGTTTATGCTCAGGACAATATAATACCATTTGCGAAGGTTCGAGATTCCTAACAAGTTAACATGCTTCTTTTTATGAGTTTCTTCCTCTCAATTGTTTCTGTTATGTAGCTTTGCACCTATCTAAATGGTAATTCGATCAATATTTTAGTGTTCGTGTTCGTGTTTATTACCGGTCGAATTATAAACTTAATTTCCAAAAAAAATTAATGAAGTTGTTTGAAATTTTACCATGTAATTATGCACTTTCATATGCTAATTGGAATGAAGATATGAAATGTTGGATTAGATTAAAATTTCGTCTCCTTTTAAATTATTTAACTCTACTCTTTCAACATTTTAATTTAGTTTATTTACTGTATTTTTTTTACGTATTATTTAATTTAAGTTATACTTTTATATTTGTATTTATTTAGCCCTTAAACTGAACTTTCATATTTATAAAGTAGTGACAAAAGGTTTCATTTGTACAAATCTTTTTATTTCCAATTCGATCTAATCCATTCGTTCGTCGAGCTATTTACTCTATCCCTTACATTTCTAAAACACCTCTAATAGATGGATAAATAGTCAATTTTAAAAGAATTTGTCTAATTTTAAACTCGTTATTGATGTATTTGACGGTTTTAAAATTTACAAATCTATTAAACACAAATGTAAATTACCCTAAACCCCTCTTGGCATTGAACTATTTAGTGGCAATAAAAGTATACAAATGTAAATAAGAAGGGACAAAAATGTAAAAAAGAAAAATAAAAATTGTAAGATAAGGGTTTGATCTAATAATTAAGGTTACAAAAACCAATGTCGTGTGGGACCCACTTACTTTTCCCCCATATATTATATAATATTTATAAACTCAAAATCATATCAAACTTATTTTCTAATCAATTTCTCATGCAACCCCACATTTAATAATTATATGCATCAATCTCTATCATTTTGTTGGACGGAGACCTCACACCCGCCGCCGTCGGCTACTGACTCACCTTCCCGATCCCTGCTCCCGTCCGCCTCAGTCGCCTCTGGTGGCAATGGCGGTTTTGTTACCGTCGCAAGGTCGGCGAAGGCTTTAAGGATGTGTTTGTGAGTGGTTTTAGGATTAAGTGCGAGATAGCATAAAAGAAGCTCATGCAAGAATTCCCATCTTGACTTTTTCGTCGCCGTCGTGATTTCCTCACGCGCCTCCACCATCTCCTGCATTGACCGACGGAAGTCCACATACGGGTCCGGTGAGTACGTCGGGATTGCAAGGCTGTTATTGAAGATCATCAAGTCGTCGTCGCCTGCAGAGTCGTCGGAAGATAGTGAAGTGGTTGTGGATTCGGCGGCGGTGGTTGTGGTGGATTCTATGATGGAGTTGGAGCTGCCGGGGGAGGAGAAGAAGAAGCGGTGGGAGGTGAAGGCGGTGATGAAGTCGACGGCGACATAGGTGTCGGGATCGGCACCGTCGTTGGCTGGGGCAAAAAGGGGTTTGGAGGTGGAATTGGAGTCGGAGGTGGTGACTTCGTAGAGGGAGTTGTAGTTTGAGATGAAGGTGGCGGCTGTGGAGAATGAGCGGGGTTGACGGTGGTGGTCAGCCTTGTGGGTGGTGGCCGGAGAAGATTGAGGGGAGGGTTGGTTTTTGATCTTTGAAAAACATAGATTCAAATAGTTTCTTCCAAGTTTGGTCGGCATTATTTTTATGTGAATTTGAAAAATGGGCAATGGGAAGATCTCCTCCCTTTAAATGGAGAAGAGAACATATAAGAACGTATTCGTTAATTATTAAAAGCCTTAAATATATTCGAGACCTATTAGATATAAAATTAAAAGTTTAATTAGAGATCTTTTAAGTCTAATTATTAGTGATTATGATAATTGTTCTGTTCTCAATATGGGTAAGGAGAACTCACCTAACTTGCACGCACTTCAATGATGAATTTGTAATTTGGGAGAATGAGGCGACTAAAAATAGATGATCGACGATGACCAAAGTGAAAAGTTGCACATTGATGTTGTGTTTACCATAGGCTCCAACGCTTATGGTAGATAAGATGTTTAAGACTGTTTATAAGAGTGTGGAAACCTCTCTCTAATAGACGAACTATGAAAATTTATTGTGAGATCCCACATAGGTTGGAGAGGGAATGAAGACACGTTTTAAGATCTTGAGGGAAAACTCTGAAGGGAAAACCCAACGATGATGATATCTATTGATAGTGAGTTTGTGCTGCTACAAATGGTATCAGAGCCAGACACTGGGTGTTGGGCCAATGAGGACACTAGGTTGAT